TAAAAACATACCCCGTGGTACTTCCTCTCGTATCATTATCACCAGAAAAGTCTGCATCCACGTATCCCTATAGTACCAATTCCTTTCTCCCAAAACACAGTGGCATAATCTATAGTCCATCTCAAGTATCACAATATCCACTTCACGGCCTCCCAATATTGCTTCCCTAGATTACCTGCAAACCTGCTCGTAACTCCCACTGCATGGGCGATATCCGGCCTCGTGCAAACCATCACATACATGAGACTACTAATGGATGATGAGTATGGCACTCTGGTCATGAACTCCTTCTCTGCATCTGTCTTGGGCGATTGCTCCTTATATAACCTAAACTGACTTCCAAGGGGCGTGCTAATGGCCTTCACATTCTGCATGTTGAATCTCTGAAGTATCTTCTCCACATATTCATCCTGACTCAACTTTAGCGTCCCATTAGCCACATCATGACAGATTCACATCCCAAGAATTTTCTTGGCTACACCCAAATTCTTCATGGCAAACTCCTTTGCTAACTACTTTTTCAACTTGTTTATCTCTTGTAAACATGTCCCTGCAACTAACATGCATATAATAATAATACGATATAGCTTGACACGAACCTCTTGAAGTAGCAACAATGATTTGAATTGCATCTGTGTTCGTGGAAAATTTGAAGTAAGTAAAATAAAAGAAAATTGATTTGTATTCTCTCGATCTTAATTACAATTTGAATTCTCGATTACAAAAGAGAGGAGAATGATCTGGATTCTTCCTTTTGTTTAATTCTAGGTTCTTCACAGTAGTGATGGAGTGCCTTCCTCGAATGCTCACGTCGAGTTTGCTCTCCATTAACGATCTGAACATCTTGATTTGCTGGAATGGTATCTCCTCCTCACGATTTGACGTTGTGGAGAACTTGCAAAGCAAGTTTTAGAACTCTTAATGAGTTGATAACTCTGAATGAGTTTGAAACTTTATAAAAGAGTTGATTTAACCGAAAATTAGTTTGACAATCCAAGGCTGAAGAAAGCTCCTGTTGTTGATCTTTAAAGCTCCAGCAATTCCCCCAAAAAGCTAGCCGAAGATCTCTTCTTTGCTGCCCAAAAAGAAGGATCAATCCCAGAGCCAAAAAAAACCCCCGAACTCAATTGAGTTTCCCACTATTTATAGGGGATTAAGGGGTATAACTGCCCCCTTAATTCGCTCCTAAGTGGGGCTGAATGGGGTGTAACCGCCCCCCTTAAACAGCTCCCCAAATCATGGGGAGAACGGTTTTAAAACCGTCCAGTTCGTGCTTTGAACAAGTCAAACGCTGAAAAATAGCGTTCAGGGCCCGAACTCTGTGTTTTAGACTAAAAACGTAGAGTTGGGCCTATTTTGGTAGCTAAACGCATAGGTCACGCTGCGTTGTAAATCTAAAATGTAGAGTTGGGACGCAGAGATGAACTCCGCATTTTGGACCTGAGACGTAGAGTTAGGCTCTGCATGAACTCTGCGTTTTGGACCTGAGACGTAGAGTTGGACTCTGCATGAACTTTACGTTTCTGGGTCCACGAACTCTACGTCTAGACTTGAATGCTGGGGATGGCCCTTGCGTTTTGAATGTATAACACAAGGTTGACCTCTACGTTTTGATGGTGAAACACAGGGATGACCTCTGCGTTTTGATGTGAAGAGACTATTAATTCGTGGTCTCTTTTGCTGGAGCGTTACAAAGACCGTCATCTTGTAATCTTCATCTTTGCTCCTTGCAAATATGAGAGTCGTCAGATTGTAACTCCCGATATTGATTGTGAAGACTATTGATTAGAGCTTTCATCAGTTGTTATGAAGGTCGTCAGATTATAACCTTCATCGATCTACGTAAAAGTTTTTAAATTATAGCCTTCTGAAAGTCGTTAGATTGTAACTTCCATCATCAGTGTTTGATGGGGGATCAGGTATCTATTGTGATTTTTAGACAGCCTACAATCTGTAGTAGCCACTGCTTTACATAAAGTTATCAAACTTCTTGTACTACTTTTTGGAGCTTGTTTCGAACCGTACAAGCTCTTCTTGAGCCTACACACCATCTCTTCTTTTCCTTCCACTATAAAGCCAACAGGTTGCTTCATGTAGATTTCTTTATCCAAGTCACCATGAAAAAATACAGTTTTCACATCCAACTGCTCAATGTAGAGATTTTAAGAAGCTACTAAGCTCAACACCTCTCTAATGATTGTAAGCTTCAAGACATGGGAAAATATCTCCGTATAATTCACTCCTTCCCTTTGTTGGAACCCTTTCATAACTAGTCTATCATTCTATCTTTTGCTTCCTTTACTCTCTTGCTTGACCCGGTAGACCCTCTTGTTATGTAAGCCTTTCTTTTGCGCAGGTAGCTGGGCTAGCTCTCATGTCTTATTCGAGTTGACAGAATCTATCTCTTCTTACATCACATACTCTCACTGCTGAGATTCGCTAACTTGCATTGCATCCTCATAATACTCAGGTTCTCCACTATCTGTCAAAAGCAAGTAATCTAGCGACGAAAGATATTTGGGATTTGGTTTGGGTACTCTGAATGACCTCTTAAGCTCCTCGCCATGGGTACTTGTCTCTGCACCTGGAGTCCCCTCCATTCTTCAGTCAGAACTGACATTATCTCCCCCATCTGGAAGTTCTTCTAAATCCATATACTCGGATCCACCCGCATCCTTAGAGCTGCTCCCACTGCTTTGGTTATCCTTGACATTGTTTTTGTCCTTGTACATCACCTCTTCATTAAATATGACATCTCTACTCCTGATGATTTTCATGTTTTTATCATCCCACAGATGATATATGAACTCATCAAGACCATATCCAATGAATGTATACTTCTATGACTTAGCTTCTAGCTTGTCCCTAACATGGTCACTGATATGAATATATGTCACGTAACCAAATACCCTCAAGTGTGAGAGATTAACTTTCTTGCCACTCTAAACATCTTCTGGAATCCCAAAATCTAATGGAACTGAAGGCTCATGAGTTATCAAGTAAGCTGTTGTATGCATCATGTCCGCCCAAAATATCTTAGGTAGACCTGCATGTAAATGCATGCTCCTCGTACGCTCTGTCAATGTTCTGTTCATTATGTCTGCAACGTCGTTCTGTAGCGGTGTTCCTGGAGTAGTCATTTCTAAGAGAGTCTTATTCAGAGCATAGAACTTCTTAAACTCCTCCAGCTCATATTCTCTACCATTATCCGATCTCAAACACTTCACCTTCAGATGTGTCTCGTTTTCTACTATAGATTTTCACTTCTTGAAGATCTCAAACACCTCTGACTTGTGCTTCATGAAGTATACCCACACCTTCCTCGAGTGATCGTCGATAAAGGTGACATAGTACACTGAACCGTCAAGAGAAGGCACGCTAGCTGGACCCCATACATCTGTATGTACAAGATCTAACTTGTTAGCTTTGAGTGGTCTTCCACTCTTCTAAAAGCTGGTCCTCTTCTGCTTTCCGTAGATGCAGTCTTCACAAACACTAACTTTTACTGAATCGATGCTGGATAACTTTCCCTGAGAGTGTAGAATCTTCATACCTTCTCACATGTGTCCCAATCTAGTGTGCCACAGATTTGCACTTTCCTTGACAACTGCAATTCCGAGGGTGTCACTCGCATGTGAAGTTAAGTAGAGAGTTCCGGTTTTGTTGCCGCAAGCAACCACCATAGTACCGTCGGAGATCTTCCACGAATCCCCATTAAATATTAAAACATAGCCTTCTGCACTAAGCTGGCCAACTAAAACAAGATTCCTCTTCAGCTTTGGTACATATTTGACATTCTTTAGAGACCACTTAGAACCCTTCATCTGAATCTGCACATCACCTCTTCCCACAATACTACAACGCTCGTTATCCCCCAAGTACACTTTCTCAAAGTCCCCTGCTATATAGTTCTGAAAAAGCTTTATATTAGCAATGGCGTGGAATGAGGCTCCATAATCAATAACCCATAAATCAGTGTTACTGTCCATAGCAAGGATCAAGGAATCTTGCATAATATGAGCCTCCTGTTCATTTGTATCCTTCTTTAGCGCTTTTGCAGACTGAAAACATATGACCCACCTGACCGCAGTTCCAACACTTCCCTTTGATAAGCCTCACCTTTGAGTTTGACCTCTTCTTCATTGACTTTGACCACTTTCTTTTCTGGTTACCCTTGTTCAGACTTTGGCCTCTCTGCTCAAAATTTAGGGCTGAACCTGAACCTTCTGATTCGGACGACTTCCTTCTAACCTCATCGGATAGAATCATACTGATAAACTCACTCAACTTCAACTTCTCTTTTCTTGCCGAGTTGTTAATCATGGTCACGCAAACTGTCCAGCTATTCGGCAACTGCGATAGTATCAGTAGGGCTTGCGCTTCATCATCAAACGTGATGTCAACGGAGATGAGTTGATCAACAATCATGTTGAACTTACTGAGATGCAACGTGAATGAGTATCCTTCTGCCATCTTGAGGTTGAAGAGTGTCTTGACGAGAGGAACCTTGTTTGCAGCTGACAGTTGCTCGTACATCTTAGAGAGCGCTTCCATAAGCCCCACTGTCGTCTTCTCCTTCAATATGTTGTGGGTGACTGACTTACCGAGCGACAACCAGCTCTGTCCTAGAGCCTTCTGATCCAGTATTTCCCAGTCATCGTCGCTCTAATCCTTCTTCTTTCCCTTAGCTTTTCCCATCAACGGACGGTAAAGATCCTTCTAGTACAGATAATCCTCCATCTGCCACTTCTAGTAGACGAAGTCTGATCCGTCAAACTTCTCAATCTTCGATTTGCTTTCTTCTGCCATAGCTCTTACACTTGCCGAACGAAACTCTGATAGCAGTTGTTGGGGTTGAACAATCGACAACCCGTGTCCTCCGGATCTTGTGACAAACAATTAGCAAGCAAGAAATCACAACAAATTGAAAAACTTGTAGGAAAGAATAAATAAAAGAGAGAACACCAAATTTAACGAGGTTCGGCAAACGTGCCTACGTCATCGGGAGCCACACCAGAAATTCTTTGATTATTGAAGAAGATTACAAATCTTGCAATAAGCTACTCTCTCTCACTCTCTCTCTCTCTCTCTCTCTGAGTTCTCTCTCACTAATCTCTGATAAAAGACACTTTTTTCTAATAGCACAAGCCCTCAATATATATAAGAAACCCTAATCCAAACAGATTCCCAAACAAATTGGGTTTTTTTTTTACCGCTGTCAGTCGACTGACCAGAATAGTATTTTCTAGTATACTGCCTGTGCACGTTATCGGTCGACTGATAATTCGTATCGGTTGACTGATAATTCGTATCGGTCGACCGAACTGAAACTTTCATGTTTTCCTGGCGTTCGAATCGGTCGACCGATATTTCTTATCAGTCGACCGATGGCTTCCTTTTTCTGTTGTGTGCTTGTGCTTCCAGGTTTGGGTCTACACTCTCGAAACCAACAGACACATGACTATCACTAAAAGCCCCAAGAATTTCTAGACAAATACATAAGACTACACATCCTCATCCGCAATCCCTGTAAATCTCATGTGAAAATTTCAACTCCAAATAATAAGTACTTACAATATTTTTGACCTGCTCTCGTCATTTTGTAACTAAACATAACAACAAAATTCTCTCACAGCAACATAATCTCAAACTCATCAAAACATATCACACCATCTCCATTGATATCATACCTCCTAATCATCTCCCTACATTCTTCCACACTCCTCTTTTTCCCAAGCCGGTCAAGCGCTCTGCTTAAGCTCTTCGGCGTGATGCATCCCTCGCCCTCCATCTCGTACACTTTAAAGGCTTCCCTCAAGTTTCTCCTCTTCTCTTCTTCACAATCCTCGTCCCCTGCTTTCACCAACTCAGCAAACTCATCGAGACACAATTGACCATCTCCATCAGAATCTAAGGACCTAACAACCTCCTCTGCATCCTCAGAAGACAATTCCTCTCCCATAATTCTCATACACTTCTGAAGTTCCATGGGTGAGATTTTACCGTCGCCATCCTCGTCAAAGAATTCAATGAGTTTCTTGAATTCTTCGAGTTTATCGGTTGAAGGGATTAGCAATGGTGCAGGCTTTTTGGGTTTCTTCGGTGATAACATGGTGGATAATTTGGTAAAGAATGAGATGTTTTCTGCGTTTTGAAGTGTTTCTACTTTCATGTTCGCAATAAGAGAAACAGAGAGATATATTTCGTATGAGAATGGGTGCAGACAGAAGCTTGAAGGTTATATAGGAAGTTGAGAAATAATATGTTAAAAGAGAAGAAGATACTAGGAAATTTCACAGATAGATATAAATACAGGAAAAGAACCAAATTGTTTGAGAAATTTTAGCCGCATAGTTTGGTGGTCTTTTTTTTGCCTAACAAAGCTTTATAATGCTTGGTGTGGAGGCAAGGAACATGCCATGGCCTACTCCACAAAACATAGATTGGTCACTGTCACCAAAAGCTAGCATAGGAAACAGTTCACAAGTGGTTATCAAAGTATTCGTACACTAGAGTTGTACAGGTTGCTCTCGAATTAGCTAGACCGCTAGAATATTGTTATTTGTGTCAATAATAGCAAGGGAAATTTTATAGTAAGGGTTAATTTCAGAAAATCCCCTTAACTTTGGGGATTTTAGATATCTTCCTTATTTATGTTAATTCCACAAATTAAAGCCCAAAACTTTATGAGGGGTTTTGCACATTAACCATTTGAACTTCTTTTATTCTGCTATTTTGAACCCTTCTGGTTAGGGGTGCAAACTAGTCCGGATTTATCCGGACCGACCGCAACCGTATCCGTTTAGAAAGCGGATATGGTAGGGAAAAATTGATACGGTTTCGGATACGGTTATCGGTCGAAATTGCGGATACGGTCCGGATATCCGGATATTTAAAATGGGCTATATATAACACTTGTATTGGGTCGGTCATAACATATATTGGGTCGAAATCCACAACCCGACCCAATTCTAACTCAAAAATCATCGACAAGCCCTAAGTCCATCTTTTCCAAAATTCAGCCCGCCTCCTAAGAAAATCCTATTTTTTCAGCTCCGCCTCCAAGCCGCCTCGTCCACTCATCCTAGCAACACCCTCTGTATCAGCTTCAGCACCAGCGCCGCCCTCGCTTCTAACTCCTCTGTCGGTGCCCATCCGCCTCCCGAGCTCCGCCGCCTCCTGCCCCGCCTCCGAGCTCCGCCTCTTCGCGATGACAACGGACAACGCCGAACATCCTCTTCTCCTCCTCAATTTGGTATACTGAATTCAAAACCCTAAGCTCTAATTTATTTGATAAAAATCCCTAACCTATTAGTCCTAATTGTTTTTAGTTGCATATATGATTGTAATTTGCATCATTATATTTATATTTTTATCATGTTGCAAAGCAAGTTAATGTGGTTGGAGAAAAGTGCTTAGCCCTTCATTGTTGCACAAGATGGAATTCTACTTATTTAATGTTGATGAATGCTTTAAAGTACAAAGTTGCTTTTAAAAGATTTGAACTTAGCGACGACAAATACATTCATTGTCCATCGGAGGAAGAATGGAATTATATTGAAACTTTGAGTAAATGTTTGAAACACTTTTATGATGCAACTAATCTCCTTTTCGGTAGTATGTATCCTATATGCAATCTTTTATATTTGAAGAATTTTGTGAAATTCAATTGCTTCTAATGGAATGGTTGAAAAGTAATGATGATACAATTATGGCTATGGCTTTTGCAATGAAAATAAATTTGATAAATATTGGAGCATGTGCAATAAGATTTTTGCGGTGTCTACTTTTCTTGATCCGAGGTACAAAATGATTGTAATAAAATATTACTTTAAGGAGATTTATGGCGTGGATGGTGAAAGGTGTACACTTGAAATTTTAGATGTCATCAAAAATTTGCACGGAGAGTATGCATCTCTTGAAAAAAAGCAATCTAAAAATGATGAAAAGGCTTCAAGCTCACAAGCAAAGGAAGTGGAAAGAGTTGGTGACAAAAGAAAGTCTAGATTTGCACAATTTGTTGAAACTATTGATAAAGAGCATACAAAGACGGATTTGGATTTATATATGGAAGAGAGTATTGTCCGATGCGAAGATGAAACAATGGGGAAATTTGATATATTAGATTGGTAGAAATCAAGTCTTGGAAGGTATCATGTACTAGCAAAAGTTACAATAGATGTTTTGGGTATACCGGCATCAACAGTTGCTTTCGAGTCAGCTTTTAGCACTGGGGGGCGTGTGATTCATTGTTATAGAAGTCGAATGACAACGGATACGGTAGAGGCGTTGATATGTGCACAAGATTGGATTAAAGCGGAGAAAGGAGGTAAATTTATAAATTTTGCATAGATTCTATTATATTTGGTTAATTGTACATTAAATGATTGAATATTTTATTCTAATAATTTTTTGTAGTTACAAAAGTGCAAAGTATGAATGATGATGCTCTTGATGTGGTTAAGCTTTCGGATCACGATGACTCGGAGATTGCCTATACTTTTATAAAAGCACCCATAGGTTTGTTATTTAACTTCATAAGCATATGATTTGAAATTTGAAATTTTTTACATATTTAACATGACAATTGCTCTTTTTATTTTTTTTCAAGGTGACATCGTAGAGGTCCTTAACTCGGATGATGAGATTTAATATTTCTCTTGCATTGATAGGTCTCATCTTTTGGTTTACATTTTCTTCTCAAGAATATGATTGACTTAGTTTGCATGTTTTTTCTTAGGGAACTATATTATAGAACTTGTGGGTTTTAAATTTATTGTATGCGACTTTGCTCATGTTAAGTCTGTATGTGACTTTAGTTCCGGATTTGTGACTTGTTATCTATGGATTTGTGACTTGTTGTTTTCGAATTGTGACTATTATTTTCGGATTATGGCTTTATTGCGTGCTTTTTTGTCACTAACATTGTGACTTTATTGCCATGAGAATGACACAGGCTCTATGAATCAAAGAGAGAATGACTTCATATGAACATCAAATGGTTCATTTAAGATAAGTTGTAGTTTGTGAGGTCAGTTGTACTTGTTGATTATCACATTTTAGTTATGGTATTCAATATTTTTTTATTTTTTATTTAGGGCCTACTATGGTGTTCTGAGGTTTATCATGCAGAATAGCAACAAAGTCTTGAGGTAACTTGTCTTACTTGTCTAACTTTGCGAATTATTAAAATCATATGTATTTTTTGTCATATCATGTTGATATCTATTTCCCAAATATCCGATTAGTATCCGTATTCGAACCGTATCAGAACCTCTAATATCCAAACCATATCTATTTTCGTTTAATGTGGATATGGTAATGTTTTTTTCTTACCGATGAATATTTGAATCGTATTCGTATCCAATTTTAGAAAGTGGTTATGGTTATGGTAAGGATCATATCTTAATCGTATCCGAACCGAATGCACCCCTACTTCTGATAGTAACACCATCAAGTTTAATCTGTCATGTGTGGAGCACGTGAACAAAAAAGGAGCAAATATGCTTCAGACATCAAAATAATTTATAAAAGTCCCACCTAATCCTTAGACAACTGTACTGAAAATTTGTTGACTCTTTCATCCTTGTTGAAGGTTTGTCATATAATACACTTAAGTGAAATTAGGGACCCCATTCACCAAAAGAGTTTAAATTAGGGTCCATTTACCAAAATCAAACCACAAGGGTCATAAGTTCAAAGCAGCGATACTAGTGGGGGCTATATGCAATTTACTTTAAAGTCAGAGGGTTTTCCATTTTCAGCTAGTCAACTTGTGGAAAGACGCAAAGTTTGTTGTGCTCTGATATCAATTGTCACGCGCCTATGCGGAAGCGTGCTCGCTCACCAAACAAGTCGTAAGCACGGGAGAAGGATAACCAATCACACACGAGCATAATCCAAAACTAAAATATGACAGATCAATCACAAACACAGAGATATACGTGGTTCGGCAATTTGCCTACATCCACGGGGAGAGGATGGGGAGATTCCACTAAATTAAGGAGAGTACAAAGGGTTACAATCTCACAAAAACTTACAAACTAACTCTCAACCAAAACTCTCAACTTGCTCACAATATCTCCCTCTCACAATGCTCAAAAGTCTCTCTAATCTCTTATGACAACCCTCCTTTTTTTGATGATCCTAATATCTTCTAAGGTATTCCATATATATAGAAAACCTAAAACCAAAACAGACTAGGAATTCTAAAACCAAAAACAAAACAAATTAATTCCATATATATAGAAAACCTAAAACCAAAACAGACTAGGAATTCTAAAACCAAAAACAAAACAAATTAGAAATCCTAATAACATGTTACCAAAACAAAAACAGACTAGGAATTCTAAAACCAAAAACAAAACAAATTAGAAATCCTAATAACATGTTACCAAAACATATTAAGAATCATGTTACCAAAATATATTAGGAATCCTAATAACTTTTACCAAAACAGATTAGGAACCTGGTATCCAATAATTCTCCACCTCGGAAAAGTATTCCCAAAACTGAGCCGACACCAACATGAGCACCAATGCGTCGTCTCACCAAATTCGGCTGCACCAATATGGTTGCCTACGTACCTCCTCTCCTAAGGAATCAAGCCGCTCGTAGTTCATCCAAATGGCTGTCAACGGTCTCAACAATCACGAATGTGCAGCAAGCTTCTACAATGATCAAACTTATTGCTAGGAATCACCTTAGTAAGCATATCCACCGGATTATCCTTCGTGTGGACCTTCACAATCTCCACATCACCATCTTCAAGAAAATCTCGAACGAAGTGATAACGAACGTTAATGTGTCTCGTTCTCGCATGAAAAACCTAATTCTTCGCCAAATAGATAGCACTCATACTATCACAATGAATAGTGATGGACCGATGCGATATACCAAGTACCTCCAAAAGTCCTCGAAGCTAAATAACCTCCTTCACAGCCTCCGTAATCGCCATATACTCTACTTCCATCATAGACAAAGTCACCGTAGACTATAAGGTGCATCTCCAATACACTGGCGCACGGGTCAAAGTGAACACATACCCCATAGTAGACTGGCGCTTATCCAAATCCCCGACATAATCCAAATTAACATAGCCAATGCACAACCGCCCACCTCTAGTGTCCCGCTCATAAATCAAACCAACATTGAGCGTACCTTGAATGTATCTCAAAATTCATCTCACGGCGTCCCAATGACCCACTCCTAGATTATGCATGTATCTCGAAACCATGCTCACCGTCTGTGACAAATCTGGCCTCGTACATATCATCGCTTACATCAAGCTCCCAACCATGATCAAATATGGAGTCTTCGACATCAACTCTCGATC